TGTGCCTATTAATTACCTAATTTGCATAATTAGTTAATTTTTTGCTGTTCTATGGCTGTTGCACTGATGTCTACAAACCACTCATTGGATTTCAATGAAACTTTTAAAGAGTACCCATCACATTTCAATGAACCTAGGACTATACACCATATTAGTTTTTGGTAAATATGTATGCTTCTTAATCACTTAATTAACATAATTAATTAATACTGATATCTCAAGTATTGATCATCACATTTGGATAAAACTTGATACATAAATGCTCTAGGACAATAGACAGCCTGATTAATTTTGGGTTAAAATCTGTTCATATTAACTCTCTAATTAGCATAATAATTATTATTTTTTGGGTTCTAATCACATTTCAATGAAACTTGGTACATTGTGCAGACCTTATTAGTTTTACACTTAAATCTGTTCATATCAGTTACCTGATTTACATAATTAGTTTTCAGCTATTCCATCAATATCTCAAGTACAAGTAATTTTGAATTAATTTTTACTGTGTCTTCAATACTCTCGGCACACGGGAGTTCTTTCTAAGCTTTCTTTGATTCTGTTTTTTGTGAATATTGCCTTAAAAACGCTATTAAACGAGACATGTAAATATTTCTTTATCTATGAAGTTAGCTAAAATAATCTATGTATATTACACATTATATTATATCAGTGTATCACTGCCATGAATGCATCATTGTGATTGGTTAGAAGACTATTTTAATTTATGCAAGCCATGGTTAAATAGAGCATAATGCACAGTTATGGTGTTCCAAATAAGGCCCCAGAATATGAATACAAGTTCAATTGGTAAACAAATAAAGGGAAGGGCATTTAAATTTTAGGGAAATTTTTGGGTAATATTGATATCATGAAGATATTATATACATATTTTATTTTGGCAGTGGTTAAATTAAAAAAAATGTACAACCTACAATTTTTGCATGCTGTTCTTTGCGACATGTTTTCGTTGTCTGCAACATAGACGTGGCCCTGTATCATGTTCGGGAGCTGTCAAAGCAAGATTTTCTTGCAGAAACCGGAGAATTCGTGCAGACGGAGAGAAAGAAACGCTTTGCCAATTTTAATGAAATTGACCTTGACGATTCGAAACACAGGCTAAAATGTATGCTACCGGCGGCGAAAATTGTCATGTTGCAGCATTTCAAAATGTATTTGACCAAATTGCAAAATGCGTTGATTCAGAGGCCCGTGTAAATGTAACACTCACTGACACATTCTGGTATTGATGAAAAAAAATTGGGATCTATGATGAAAGAGATTTCGATAGCAGCAAATTTGTTGACAATTCATACAAATCATTATGTTGGGGCAACTGCGTGCGCTGTGTTAGATTAGGTAGGAGTTGAACCCACACATATTATGTATTTCACGGCACATAAAAACGAAGCTAGTGTTCGGTCTTACACCAACAAACTCACAAATAATCAAAGTCAAGGAATGTCCAGTATCCTGTCTCTCAGTTTTGGGTATAAAAACTAATCCTCTGATAGAGAAGTGACCGTAGCGATCGAAGCGGGTGTTTCCGACAATGTTATCCGTACCCCAGAAAACACCGGCATAGTAGCGTCTGGACGAACTCCTGCAGAATCTGGAACCGCTACTATTTCTAATACCCACAATCAAAGTACACATGCAGCATCTGCTTTGTTCCATAACTGCACCTTTAGTGGACCAGTGGCTGCCGTTAATGTTCTGCTGATGATAATTTATTCACAGCTATTCATATGTAAATTAAGCGTTGAGCTTGTTCAGTTTATTAAATTTTTAATTATTTGCTAGTTTCTTGCGTCGTCGAAATAAACTTCCTTTGATTGTGATGATATCTAAACTTGATGTTCTGTGCATTGCTGTATACTGAGCGCGAGTGTTTGATAAAAGATTAAATACTGGTTCCAGGGCTTATTTCATCTGATCACCGTGTCGACCAGCCGATGCTCATTACACGTCATTCGAAAACGACTTTTTCTTATTTTGTAAAAAGGCCGAGAGTGTCGAAAATGCTACAGAAATGAAGTTGATATAATATAATAGCAATAACCCACCGCTGGAGGTGGGTTATTGCTTAATTTTCTCATCTGTAATAAATGTAGATTTCACTCCGTGTCATAACTTTGTGAAATCATAGCCCATAAAGAAACAGCAAATTCTAAAACTAGATTGATTATGTGATATTTAAACAATAATGAAAATAATTTATTTACCATTGAAATACCATCTAAAAATAATTATTTACCATCATAATACTATGTACATTAAAATACAATGGAAAAAAAAAATACTAAAAATTATGATTATATTCCTTATTTTGCAGCATGTGATTCGACTTTTACAAGAAGGTAAAGCTGATATACATGTTGATCCTGTCTTGTATAAGTCGTGTGCATTGGACATCAAACATTTCTGTGCTGGAATACCACCTGGTGAAGGAAGGCGTAAGTATAAACTTTTAACAAATATCAATGGCGTTTGTAGTTTTAATAGCATAGTCCTGTGTGAGAAACAACTTTTATAATAATTTCATTACTACTATTCAAAATATTTAAGAAGTTAACAAACTAACCACTAAAAGTGACCTTTGGAATGACCTTTTGGCAACCTTATTACAACTTGTAAACCTTATTACAACTTGTAAACTTTTGCCATCGTGTTTTTGACTCCCGTGTGCGAAGCACAAAAAGGGAGTCTTTGCAGTCAGTGTGTCTGTATGTGTGTGTGTGTATGTGTGTTCGTCTGTTCCACTGATATCTCAAGAACCATATATCAGTTTTTGATGAAACTTGGTGCATAGATGCTCTGGGCCAATGCGCAGATTTGATTAGATTTTGGTAAAAATCCATGCATATTAATTACCTAATTT